AGCCCAATCCAGGCAAACGAAGGGCATACTGTGCTGTGCTGGGGACAGGGCCAGGCCCTCACTGGTGACTGAGCCCTAAAGCCCTGAGCCCTTGGCAACTGCACTCCCTCCTGCAAGGTGAGGAATAGCACATGGCTGAAAACTCCCACTAGCTCGAGGGGAAAATCCTACACTGCCGTCTCACAACAAGGCCATAGAAAATTCATCTTCCGGGATTTCTTCTACCTGCCTGTGTCAAGTGCGCGCAACCATTTTTTTGCCCCTACCTCTGCTCCATACATGTGCAATCCCCTCTGCACATCCATCCCTCACCCCCCGCCCACAGCATCTCGGGCGGCCCTGAGCATCTGCTCTCCATCCTCAGATGCTGACTGCCCATTCTCCTGCTTGAGCTCCGTCTCCAGCTCAGCCTGCAGAGTCCCCAGACCACTCCTGCCCTCAAGCACTGTAAATGGAGCCCTGCAGGACCTCTTCCTCCTCAGCAACCCCTAACAGGGATGGGCAGCAAGCCTGTCTCAGCCTCTTTTCTCAGCCTAACCCTGAACCAGTAACGCTCAGGCCATCTAGAGACTCCTTTGAACCTCTGGTTGCTTGTCAACCCTCCGTGGTGCAAACACAACTCCAAGCCAATCCTTGGGGCCCTTCAAGGCACAAGCCACCAGGCCTGCATGCAGCAGGGAAAAACTGGTGATCCCTACTCCATGCTCCCACGCTGGATTGGACCTAGAGCAAGAGGTGATTTTGAGGGGGAGGGGAAGGAAAACTCCATGGGTGGGATTTCCCAGTCATTGCCTGCCATCTAGCGCCTAGCGCTTGCTGCTGTTTTATAGGCAGCAAGCAACAGCCAACTTCATCCTCAGTGGAATTTAGCTCTTAAATTAGAGATAGTAACATTTGTGTATCAGTCTCCCAGCACTGGGAGCTCCCCACCATGCTGCTCACTCTGTGCCAGGGCCAGGGAAAGGGTTTCAGAGTCAAACAGGTCAAATCCTGGTGGGGCCAGTCAGGGAAAAGAGCCCGGGAGCTAGGGGTAGTGATGCCATGTGCCCACTCCAACAGTGTCCAGTGCTGACAGCACGCTGGGGGAAGAGGTGCCTCACCAGCAGGTTGCAAATATGATGCCCAGCTACTGCAAACTGACTAAACAATACATCTTGCTTTGCCATGCGTGGTTACCTTCAAAAGTTGTTCGTCGCTGTCAGTAGCTCCTAGCAAAACAATACACGAACGTGTTCTGTGAAGAATGCCACAGATAGATAGGCTAAAAATAGGGAGACAAAAGAAAGCATGACGCTTGTCAACTGTGCGGGAGATTGACAACCTACAGAAAATCAGAAAACACAAACAAACAAAAATCAAGAAAAACTGACTTCATGACTCCAATATTCTTGCTCTGGAAGACGCTATTAAAAAATTTGCTACCCAGTTTAATCCCTGGGCAACCATGGCAGTAGAAACGCAGTCCCTACAACCCTCTTGCAAGCTTTGGGTCAGCATCAACGGCAGGTATCCCAGCATGATGCCATAGCGCTGCAGCCTGTGTCCATGCACAGAGGGCCAAGGGCCCCGGTCATACGTCACCCATATCCCTCTCCGTCCTTCCACAGGGCTGTCAAACTAGCACAGACTCAAGAACGGGGGGCACTCACAGCTGAGGGCACGGGCTTGCACAGGAGCAAGCAGGAAGAGAGCATTAGCTCCACAAAATCATCCTCATCCAACAGAGTGCCAGGACCTGGCTTGCTCCTTGCTGCCTGGGCCCATGGGGCAAGGTGACTAGGCAATTTTCCAGATGACTGCAGGTGATTTAGGATCCTCCATTGGTCTTCAGGCAACCTGGAGGGCTAATGCTCTCCCTCTCTCTCTGTCTTCAGTAAGGGCATCTCTGTTTTCACCTTAGGAACTGGACATCTGTCAGCTTCTTGTCCCTCTGAAAGGGTTGTGACACCTACCCACAAAGGCAGGAGAGGGCAGCCAGCAGAGCTGAGTCATCACAGTCCTGTTTCCAGGAAGAAGATATAAGGGAGCTGAAAGACGGGAGGGCCCCTCTCTCCTGACCCAGCACTCTATCACTTACCTAACTGGTCTCCATCACACCCCAGCACTTTCCTAAAGCTCATCTCACATTCGCAGCCTGTGCCATTTGCTTACACCATGGACTGGGAAATGAAATGTTTGCTGCTTTGCAGAGGGGCACACTGGTGTCTGACACAAATGGGCTGCATCGGTCTTTTGGCAAAGTAAGCCAGGGCAGGGCAGCAGCTTCCAAACACACAGAACCAGATTTACTGCTTAGCACATGGCTCCGATTTCCTCCAACACTTCCAAAAAAGCAATAGGCGACGTTAACAAAAGGATTACTCAGAATTCAAAAGCAAATGGGATTTGTGACCCATTATATTAACTGGGGACCGGAGAAAGCTCTACAGAGAGTGAACACTGCCGGCAGGTCACCAAACCAATTATTAAGAGCTCACAGATCACGAAGCTAGATATATACACACATCAAGATAAATTTCTATTTGCCTGGAGAAGTAGGATGCTGGCTGAGCCACGCTCCCAACCCAGCATGCTTTTTCTATGTACCCATTAAACCTGGATTATACCTAGTTACTTTCCCCAATAATTCACTTCCCCCACAGGTTTAATGCTGAAGAATAACATTTGGGAGGGTAAAACCTGAAAGGAGAAATTTAATGTGCATAATTACTTTGATAGATGAGAGAGAGCAGAAAGCAGGCAGCCAGCACATGGAGGGAGCAGGCCAGCCACACACGTGCTCACCCTGACATCCCTCACCGCCCTTCCAACACGGCTGCTGGCCTGCACCTCGGGCCACCGAAGTCCCAGTTTCCCTCTGCCCAAAAGCTTGAGGGAGAGCAGCCCTTAAACACAAGATAATTTGCCTCCAATATTAGCTGTCATCCTAATCTCCAAAAGAGATCAGCTTAGGCTGCAGACTGTGAGCTGTCATATTTTTTCCTAAACTTTGGCCGTGGTTAATTATAAGACTGGACGTTCTCGACAGCCACGTAAATGGCCGATTCCTGTTACGACCCTGCCCAGCCTCTGGAATAGGCTGTGATTTTGAGTCCTAAAGCCTTGTCCTTGCGCTACATAAATGCTTTATTGCCTTTGCAGGGTTTTGAACAAGCTTCATTTTAATGTTGCTGACTATCCCCTCATATTCTGATTGAGAAATGCTCTTGGGTCTTCAAGTATTGTCTATGAAAACCTGTCAAAGATCTGCTAGGAAAAAGTAGCCTTAACAGGAAAGCCATGTCCAAAACTACTTGAAGGCTATCTGCTATCAGTATTTTACACTCATCTCACAAAGTCCTGGCTTCATTTTTTGAGGGCTTGGTGTTAAGGATTGAGTATTACAGCAAAGCTTTTGGAGCAATTTTACCCCGAATTCAAGTTTCTCAGTAAGCTCCCGTTCCTTTACATCAGTCCTGACCTCTGCAGAGGTTCACCCCAGCACTGCCCTCTACATGCCTCACTCTGCATCCCTGAAGCCTACTGGTTATCAAGACACAGGGATGGCTTCACAAGAAAGGGAAGGAGAAAGGCATCCCAAGACAGGGGGGTGAGATGTAATCAACTCATGTCACTGGTGACCTCAACCAGATTTTCCAAGCCATTTTCTGCTGGGCCTCCTGGCTGTCACAAGTGGGGTTTGTTTCAGAGCACCCCATACTGCTGTGCACAGCAAGAACGGGCAGTACTCACGGAAACCCTGAAGACAAACCCCTCAACACAAACACACTCCTAACCTCTGAGCCAGCCAACCCATTAACCTGGCATGGAGGGATGCCACAGGGGCATGGTGGTCTCTGCACCCAAGCAGCTTTCCCAGCTCTAACAACCTCACAGCCACATTTAGGAGCAAGAGCATCTCTCCTCATTTGGGTTTTCAGAGAGCAGGAAGAGGTATAGCCCACGGCTCCACCTGCCTCTCCTGGCTCTGTACACATTCAGCTTCCAAATATCAATGTTTTTGGTTGCTTGGCGCCAGCCACGAGAAACAGATAGCAGCTTCCTATTACATGAGAAAGAGTGCAGTTCTGAATGGTTCACAGTGCTACTATATCACAACACACCTAAACTGTGGCTCTGCTTAGAGAACACCAATACCTGAAACTCCCGCAGTCAAGGGGATATCAGCTAGGGAAGATATTTTGTAGGCAAAGCAGAAGAAACTTGTTTCCTTAAACTGAAAAGTGGTCTTGTTATCTCTCCCTTGCTGGAGGGGAGTGCTAGCATCCAATTTTTCACAAAGAAAAACTTCATCTCTCTCTTCTGGCATAGTGGCCTAAGCTTAAACTTAGATGCAGGAGTTTTAGACTGCAATTGAGCCTTCCATTCATTTCCGCTTCTTCAGGCTTTTAGCAATGGTGGCCAGACTCCATTGCACCAGGAAGAGGTCATCTAGATAGGACTCCTTCCCTGTTTGAGGGAAAAACGATCTGGCTTTTGTGAATCACCCTCATGAATGGAAGTGCTTTATACTGAAAAAGTTTCAAGAGTAAAAAGTCTCTGCAGTCTGACCATCAGTGTTCTCCCCAGCTCCTCCCCAAGTTGTGCTATTTGGGGAAGATAATGGTCCAATAACGGCCTTGGCACCTGCAGCACTTACCTTATGTTGGACTTCTCAGGTGAGCTCCATACTGCACTTCTCAAAGCGAGGAGTTCTAGGCCCTTTGCAAAGACTATCCCTCTGCACATACTTCAAATGAGAGCTCTCCAGTTATTCTGACTGTGCCTTACATTAGGGAGCCTCAGCAAACTTGATGCCTTCCCAGCTACCTACTGTTGCTTCAGGTTCTCGTGTAGACATCTCGTGTGAGAAACACGCTTTAGGCTTTGGGAACAAAACAGGTGCCAGAACATCTAGACAATAAACACTCGTACAATTCATTGTCATATTTGCAAAGTAAGAGTTTTGTATTTCATGCTCAATGCAACCGAAATGAAAAGCCTCGATGACTTATCGTGGGACCTCTGGGAGTAGAGAAGAAATGAGGAGACACCAGACCATCCTCTTCCCTAGAAGATCTGCACAACATCCTTCTGCCTTCCCTGTAAGAGGCCAGGGTGAGGGAACAAGAAGTGAGCAAGAGCCCCTGAGACAGAGGATCCAGGATTGTTTGCAGTTACCAGCTGACAGTTTGCAAATAAAATAAACAGCAGGGGGGAAAAAAAAGCACTGATCATACACAGGCTGGAAGCAGGAAATTCTGTTTTAGATGCTGAGGAAACAGCTATTGCAACTTCCAGATAAGGCCAAGTTCCTTGCACATCTGCTGCCTTTATGAACAAGGGCATGAGTCTGAGGAAAACATCAAAAAAACCACCAAAAAACAAAAAAGACTGTAGATTTTGGCCTTTCCATCACTGGAGGGAGCTCCCCCTCTTTCAGCACAGACAGCGCCCGCAGGCCTGCTGCTTGAGCAAGCCAGAGAATAAGAACTGTCTGGGTTTGAAGGCCAGTAAGCTTTCAGCACAGCCCTTTCTCTCCTTTGTGCTCCTAGTTTTGAAGACAAATAACACTGTTTAAGCAGCATTTTACGTGCTTTGAAAGTCCAACTCCAGTGACACAGAACCTGCCTTTTGTATGGGAAATGCGGTACAGACCTTGGCAAGGGGCCTGCCCTAGGCCTGTGCTCACAGAGCTCTCCTTCGAGACCGAGTGCTACAGTCTGAAACAGCAGGGCCGAGAAAAGCCTCTCCTGAGCTGACTGCACTGAGTCCCTGAGCCTACTGCAGACACAAGGGTCACAGTGCTGACGGTCACAATGCTCACCTCTCCCCTCCACAGGAGCTTTCAGTCTCAGAGAAGGCAAGAATCTCCCCCTTCAACAGTACTGGCCTCAGAGAGCAGCCAAAAAATCCGCAGTTCGGCAGGCACATACCCTGCTCTGCATTTAATTCCTCTTTGCAAATGCTCTTTCAGCACAGGCGCAGCCTCCTTGTCAGGCCTGCAAGGGCGTTTCAAGAAACCACGTTTTGTTTTGTTTGTAATTTATTGCAAGCCTGTAGCTCCCAAACTGCCCAGCGTTAGAGAATAGAAGGCTGCTGGGCTACCCCCCATCCCAGTGGTTGTGGAGTGATTAAGGATAGCTTTAATTTGAGGCCTGCAGCTCAACAGCTCCCAAAGGATTGATAAAATATATACAGCAATCTCAAATTCCACCTCAGGAGGCTGAACTCTCTCCGGATGATTAACGACAGCTATTTCCATCTCTCCCCCTGCCACTGAAGAAGGCTGCTTCTCTGCAAGGTCCTACCAACACTAGCCCACGCTCTGACTAGCAAATAGCAACATTTACAATCAGAAAAACGCTCCCAGAAATTGAACCAGTCACAAGGAGGTGAGGTAGCACAACACCACAACAAGATAGCTCTTTTAATAAATAAGTTGAGGTAAACGGGGTCAGACTCCTTGAAAGAGGCCCTGCTCGGCTGGGCTAGCAGCACTGGCCTAACACAGTAGGAATGGGAGCTGAGAAGTGGAAACTCTTCAATACAGCCTCCATGGCTGTCCCCAGGAAGCAGCAATGCTGAGAACAGCCTTCCCAACGCAAGCAAAAATTAGCCTCTTAGCGCAGAAACAGAGCTACTGGTCAAGTGCTATTTTCTGCCTGTTGCTACAGCTTCAGGCCCCAAGAGGACTGCAGCATTGGTGAGAAAACAGAGCTCATTTTAATATTAAGGAGAGCTGCATGAAAAATAGGCAACAGCTATGTCCTCCATGGCCACCACTTATCAGGGACTCTTGGGGCCAGAGGCAGCTCCAAAACAGTTTCAAAACAGTTTAAGTGTAATTTTCAATCCACAGGTACCTTACACAAACAGCAATAGGGCTGTGACACAGAGCTGTGAACAACCTAAGTTCCCGGCTGCAGAAACACAAATCAGTTCCCCAGAAACCTGCCCTCCCCAGCCTCCTGGGCCCTCACCTGTTGCCTGTGATCTTTGCAGAGTTCCCACTTTCCACAGTACCAGGTACGTGGTTTCTGGCTACCAAAAAATAAAAATAAAAAATCTTGCACCTATGGCTGACAGGGTAAGGAAAGTTGGCCTCCCTTCTGGTGAGTTAGGCAAGTGAATGGGTTACTTCCGAAGAAGCTAAAGGGCTCCAGGAATGCACAGAGGGAGCTCAGCCACAGATGCAGTTTGCATCCAAAGAGATCAAGGTATGCCTGGAAATGCTTGTCAGGGTGCTCCAGGCCCGCAAGAGCTAATCCTTGGATAAGCAATTGACTGCTGCTCTGCTGTGCACTGCAAATGTGCATTTCCTCCCCAAAAAGGTCACAACGATCCAAAGAAAAACTATAGTCTTAGGGGGTGGGATGGCACCTAAAAACCAGGAATACTTCAGCTTGGTCCCTTGCCAGGTCTCCCAACATAGCTAGCTGACAAGTCCTCTTCCTACATCTAGGAGGGCTTATTCCCACCTGGACACACAGGTAACTCTCCAGTGCTGCTCTTGGCAAAGAGCGGGTGGCAGAGACACAAATATTACGTGTTATTTAAAAGAAACTGTTTGAGCTCTAGACTATTGACAGGAATCTGGTGAGGAGAGACAGCCTGTTGGGTACCACAGCCCTAGGGAATGCCACACTCAGCAGAGGAAAAGGAGGTCACAACATGCACTTCCAGAGGAGGTGGAGGATTCAACATAAGCAAAGAACTCCTTGAGGAGAGTCTCACTTAGGAGTATAAGTGTTAATATTTATTTAGTACAGGCCTGGAGAAGAGAACTGGGAAATAAGGCAAAGCCAAATCATCCTCTAGAGCCTAATTCAACATCTCATGCGCACAGACCATGGAAAGTAGCAGCTGCACCCCTCCCCAGAGTCACGTCCTATGTCTTCACCTTCTGCTGGAGCACAGCCTAGCACTTATAAGTCCAGAAGGAATCGATTGACTTTCTTCAGGTATTCTGAATTCAAGTAACCTCCCAGCTCATCCTTTGTGACCCACAGGTAATCTTCTTTCAGTTCTGCCTGGGACAAATCGTTGCTCTGGAGGAAGGCTTTGAAGAAGAATACTTTGGCTCCCACGTTATCCTCAGTCCTGATGGCCCGGGGGAATTTGTACTTGTAAAGCCCGTATGGCGCATTCCCCAGAAACTTGGCCTGGATATGATCTCCTGCAAGACCCCAGCAATGCAAGAAGAAAAAAAAAGAAAGACATAAGAACACAGAGCAACAGCAGCTTCTTTCCTGAAGTAAGAGAAAGGGCATAGGACACTTCCTATGTCTCGTTCAGACTGTTCCTTCTTCCTAGCAGAGATACTGTCAATCATAAACCTTATTTCATGAAAAGCCTACCTGTCCTGGAGTCCTGCAAGCTGCCTAAAAGGAAGAGACATAAGGAGAGAGCACCAAGCTCCGCCAACTCATACCAGAGAGCAAGGACACACGGGTTTGCAAACACCAATCTGCTACAAAAGCTGCTACAGGGTGACAAGAGGGAAAGTGAATCTGTACCTAGAGCAACGCTAGTCCATTCAGGAGGCAGCTGGTGATGCTTAAACATCAGACTGAGGGCCAACCTTGCCACTGCAGTCTGCCGGCTCAGTTAGCCCCTCTTACACAGTGCAGCAGCTGAGCTAAGCGCAGTACAGCTCCAGTCCCTCTGCAACGGGGCACAGTTATAGAGCAGCTTACTCAGCCTTCACAGCTCTTGCCAGAAACCCCACCACGTTTAGCTCATTCAGCACATGGGAGGGGATTTTACTACAGTGGATTGCAAACATCCCTAAGTTAGGGCAAGGTAAAAAAACAACTGGGACAAAGAGGAGAAGAGGACCAGGTACACGCAAGGCTACGCACCTAAAAAAGTAGACATGGCTCGCTCAGCTGTGCTTCGCAGCGTCTCTCCAGGCTGCCATTCTGCTTGAGGCAGGAGCCACAACTCCTGGTTACCAATTTTCTGTTTCACTAGAAGCATCAGGTTACGGTCCAGCTTCCTGTTCAATGACGTTCGGATGTCATTTTTATCAGCATCTGCCAAAAAACAACACATGCTGGAAATAAAGTCTCTCAGCAGCACTGGTCTGATCACCATAATTCATTATTTGTCTCCTTCTCACACCCTTCCAGCAATAATACACACACAATACGTATACATAGAAAAAGACCAAAAGCGAGACCAAATGCTCTCAGTCACCCTGGGAGCTGTTGCAGGATTCAAGTGGAATCCACTATGAGACTGCAATCCACTTATTTCATTTTCAAACAAAATTTATAACAAGCAGTTTAGATTTTCAGTTTGACAAAAATCAACCACAGCACTGAACAAGTTTGTGAATCAAGCTATCTAAAGTTTCTCTTACTTCGAAACAAAACCCATTTGCACCATTTTGTCACGTTGTGTCAACAAGCATATCTTCACTGCACAGCAACAGAGATTCCCTTGTAAGCTAGTTAATTCCTCTCATGCTAACTGTGCTGCCACACAGTCAAGACCCTCCTTAAAAACTCAAATGCCTTAACTCTACTGAACAGCACTCAGCTGTGTTTGGCAGACTACCAGGGTGTTCTTCTCTGCCAAGATACAGCAAGAACTTCAGTCTGTACCTGTTATCCGTGGAGCAGCTTTGAATCGCAGTAACTTCTGTTCCCACTTTTCTTCTAGGTCTTGAGCCATGACAACAGTTTTGCCAGGTGCCTCATCATCATCATCGTGCATGCTTTCCTTCCTCCTCTTGAGCTGCTCTTCCTCCTCCAGCTTGCGGATTTCATGGTCTGAATAGTGGCTTCTCTCCAACTCTATCTAAAAAGGCATCGCAGAGGATTGTTACATCCTTCAGCGGCGAGCGGACAGCACTGGGGGAACTGAGC